GAGAGAGCACGCATCCAATCCTGCATATAATGAAAAATATGGGATTTGAGGGCAGGTGATCCTATCCTTTGGATAGTTAAGGTGCCACACCCAAATGTCGACTATTGGACATTTACGAGGCCACAACACTTTTTCCCATTGGCTTAGCCCACACCAGATTTGATGTTGGGTCAAGGCCTCATTAAGTGATCATAAATGCAATGCTACAAAAGTGACAAAAGTTTTAAAGCCATTACCCATCAGTAATGCACTTGCTGACGAACATTTACTCTCTTTATTGATATGACTAATACAGAATACTTTTATCGCTGATAGTACTTTATCCCCAATTTCTGAGAAGCCCGTATCCTTACTATTATGTTAGATACTCGATTTTAAGGCAAAATGGCTGTGATTTGAAAATACTTTTAGGTTTGGATAGAAACTTATAAAACATTGTTTCCCAGGATGGACCATGTAATATGAGCTCAAGCAGGTGCTATATAGACTTAAATAATAGGTAAAATAGGGTAAACGTTTTGCGATAGTTGATCACGTAAAGTCCTGGCAAGTTTTAGAGTAAAATGATGCCGGATTAAGCATATCTATCTAGCTTGCGTCAAAAAACTGAATGCACCGAATCGAGATATAGTATGCTACGCTACTAAAGATGCCTAATCAGGGTATGGTTCTAGCGTACTAATTACAGTTATCAATTAATTCCAGTACTATCTGGTTATGAACAAAAATTAATCATTGCCATACCATAAGGAGTTCTGGTGATTCCGCTCGAAGGTAATAATCTCTTCCCTTTTCCTTAATGAAAGGAAACTTAAGAGCAAAAGTAAGATCGTCCACCATTTCAATAGAGTGCCCCTCAAGAAAGATGACGCCTAAAGGTTCAACGTCAGACCTTCGCTCGTAATAGGCAAGGATATTTCCACATAAGACAAAATATCTCTTTTTAAAGTGATTCTTTTTTTGCAATCTAGTTTTAAAAAGAGTTCCTTCCTTATCGTGGCGCTCATGTTTAAAATAATACAAAACCGTTTTCTCATTTAGTATCTTCATCAGGAGCAAATCCCATGTTATAATTAGCGCACTTTAAAATTTTATTTAATTTTCAAAATAAAAAAATTATAAAGAAAGCTATTTATGAATTATATATAAAACTCTGTAAACAATTATAGTACGTCAGCAAAATAGGCGCGTTAATTAATTCCTTTTTTTTAGGTCTTATGCTGATGTTTAGTTTATCTCTCTAAACAAAAACTTCAGTGTATTTAATTTCCCCTAAAATTATTACATACTCACCTTAGCTTTAATCTTTACTAAAAATGACCCATAACTCTAAATGGGAATCTGAAATTTCCAACTTTGGTGAAAAGGAATTTTCCGTATGCTGTGAATTGAAGTTTTGTACATCTGAGGCCGAAGCAGCTGTTTTGGAGACATCTTTTGGTGTTGAAGATATACGCATAGCTGATGCTCTTCCTTTTAGTCCAAAGCTAGCCTATATTAATCTGACAACATTGGAAGGTGATCGATTCTGCGTGGAAATCACATGCTTGGGGTTCCGTCCAGTTGGAAGAGTGTAAATCTAGGCTTATCTTTTTAATTTGCAATTTTTCTAATTATCATTAGTTTAATAATTTTTATTTTCCATATTTTTGTTAAAATTTTATTTACTCATACATTGGCGTATATATGAGTATAAATATTTATTTTAGACAGTTAAATAGAAGAAATTTTTTCAATTTGACGTTAACATAATTAAACTAAAGGAGTATGGAAAAATGAGTCTAATCTTGGTTCCTTTGATCATGCATTCATCTTGAGTACGACACAAATAATCATTCTATGCAGATCAGCAATGTTTTATTTCATTTATAAAAAAGAATATTTGTAAATGAACTAATTCTAATAAAAAAAACTGACGCTTTAATGGTGATGCAAGATTACTGGCTTTCTGATTATTCGGATTATTGTTGTCTGCTATGAAGGAGTAAAATTATTCCTGCTATAAACTAGATGTTTACAAGCTTACTTTTAATTCCTTTACTCTGATGATCATTAATTTAATCCATTTTGGCAAGTTTTAAATTTTAGCAAATGAGATTCAATTCACTTTAAATATCACCTCAACTGTGAATGGATTACGCTAGTTACCATTTTAAACAATACTTGCTTGAGCACCACCGACTATTTTCTAGACTTGCTTTCCGTGCATATTTTATAACCAGCTTCAATCCCTTTGCTAAATGTTTAAATATATTACCTTGGGTAACAATGTAACCCAAAGTTTAGCTACCTGAACAAGATGACTTTCTACAT